AGGGCAAGTGGAATTAAAAGAGATGAAAAGCAGAGAAAGTTAAGTAAAACTGAAAGTGAGAGAAATCTGTGTGATCCCTTGGCACCCTCATCTTGCTCTTTCTGCCTCCATGCCTCTCACAATAAAAGCGACCGAGTCAACAGGTAAATGGTGTCATGTTTGACTCTCTGTCTTTATCACTTATATTCAGCTCCCTCCTGCTGTGGCAGTCTTTGGATTTGATTCAGCTTTCCCTACAGTTATCAGGGTTAAGTACAAAGGTCTGAGATGTTAGTTGCATTGAGAGAATCCTTGAACGCAGTCATGTAAAAACAAAAACTAGCCCCTCATTCCATTTCACCTTTTGTTATTTATTCATTTTTAATTTTTTTGTATATCAGACTTTGCATGTTGTCCCTGTGTATGTGTGTTTCCCTTCAGGAACGCAGGCTTGCTCTCACCATCCAAAAACAGAAATGTTTGGTTAAATTATAATTCCAAACAGCCCATAGGAGGGAGTGCAAGTGTGTGGTTGTTCATTTGTGTGTGGCCCTGTGATGGACTGGCCACCTGTCCGAAGGTACCCCACTTCTGGTCCATCCCAGTAAGTTCATTCCAATGATAGAACTTGGAGTGAACTTGCCAGGATGGCCACACCCTGGATGTCCAGTAACTGTTTTGAAACTATAGAGAATATGAATAATCAGTCCCACTGTGGAATGAACTGAATGACTGCATTGTCTTGAAATGGCCTCATAGCTCTTATTGTATGGACGGAAAGCAATAATTGCTATGCTAAGATCATTGCTGACGTATCTTCTTCTTAAACATACATGACGCATCAGCTGGCTGCTGTGACCCTAATGCTCTCGTCCCTATGAGAGAATTAAGGATTTAGCTTGTTTTTCCTACACTGCTTCTGCATTTTGGTAATCATTTTGTGAATACAGCATTGTGTGCTGTGTTGTCATTCATCTAAGGTTGTACTACGCTCATGAACATTACAAGGACAAGAGATTTCGTCATGTTTGATTATATTGCTTTGATACAGAAAGCCTCAGATTGTGATGGATGTTCTTTAATTTTAAGATGCATTGATTTCTGAGTCTAAACACAACTCACAGCTAGACAAGATGATAACATTGATGTCAGGATCAGCAGATATTCTGTTAATTGTGCCCACAACAATTCAAGGAATTTCCATCAATACTTCTTTTTAAAGTGCTACTCGAGATTATCACATACAAAGCCCAAACACACTCTTGAATAATAGGATCCATTCTCCCCAGCTCTTTTTTCAGTTTAATGATGTCACGACTAAAATGTTAATTACAGCTAAAATGAGAGATGATTGTGAATATCAAACAGCAATTAGCATGTATCATCGTCACCATCATTACCGCCATTAGCTGCCGCAAAAGATGGAGGATTATTTACCAAACGTTGAAATGCTCATCAGTTGCTTATTCAGGACACGAAATGTTTTCGAGTAAGTGTGAGAAACAAAATCATTCCTCCTTAAATTTGCATAATCAATGTAGCTTAAAAACGTAACTATTGGGATGCCGAGAGCATGAAAACAACCACACTGTGTGCTCATTGAAAAACAGCCCTTACTTAGGTGTAGACACAAAAATGAGCCTAAATGTATGGACATTTTGTTTCTCAGAAATACTTAATAAAACCCAGGCACTGGGTTAAACATACACAGAATATACTTCCATATTTAGGTCTCACATCCCAAACTAGCACTGAAACTATCTTCCTCACATTAAGATCTTTCTTTGGTCTGAAAAAGTAACCTAACAACATTGTACCAAGAGGATTATTTTTTACTTTTGATTGTCTTTATCATGAAAGTAATTTCAATGTATTGTACATTATTTGATCTATTTTCTTATCTCTGATGTGGAATGCTTCCTTATAGAAAGCCCCTTTTTAAAAATCCAACCAATAACGATAAAAAAAATTCTTTATGAAGAAAAAAATTTACCATACTGCCAATTTCCTCATTACAGAAGGTGATTTATCACGTTGTCACACAGGAAGTCATGTGACGAGTAAGCACAAAAATGTTCAAGGACTTACAAGCTAACAATGAACCATCATTACAATGGTAATTCTATTAATGAGCTTTCCCAAATAAAACCTGAAGACAAATGTCAGCGACTGAATAAAAAACTTTCCATTTCTCACTTACCTTGCTGTACAAAGGAGCCATACACAAACCACATGGAATTGTACAGAGTGGTTGAAGACACGGATCCCATAGGTAGCCGTGGTGGGTTGAGCCAGTTGAGCAAGTACACCAGGATACCAACGAGAAGCACAGTACCAGCAATGCACGCCCACAGCGACAAGTCGAAAGGTGCCAGGCAGGCAAACATGTCCACCGTGCGCTCGGCCTTGCGCAGCAGAACGCCCACTGAATAATCCATGTAGCGTGTGGTGAAGTCTACAACACTCTCCCGCTCAGGCGTGATGGTCAAAGCAGAGAGTCCCACATCAGCTCGCTGCAAAAGGCAGAGAGGAAAATAGCGATTCCACATAAGTCTTTCAGTAAACAGACATGGATTAGGCCTTTTCATGTCACACAGAAATGCTGTTTTAAATATTGAGAAAATAAAAACATATACACATATCACAAGTAAATATCATTGCCCAAGTAGATCAGTTAATAGAAATATCAGTGTTAAATATCTGTGACTGAAAATAGAAAATCAAACTGAAATAACAAAGAATAGAAAAACAAAAAAGTAAGCAAAGTATTAGATTTCTAAAGTGTCATAGTGATATCCCAAAATTTATTAACTATTCCTGAAGAGTTCACTTTGCATGGCTGAGTACCTGCCTTGATATGTGACCTCTGGTTCATTAATTCATTAATTCACTGATTGTCTTTTTTTGCTGTTTTTCCTTAACCGTCACCTATACATTTTCACAACACTTGTCAACCTAACGTTTTTTTGTGGGGAAACAAATGACTCCATTAATTATTTACGTGTAAAGAATAAGTATTAAGAAATCTACATGAGAGTATGTCAGCAAAGAAAAATAGGCTGAGCTTAGTGTTAGTGCTGGAACAATGATGGCTAATTAAAATGTTGTAAGTCCCCGGTGCTTTGCTAGGAGCAGAAGACATCTGTCTGTACCATAACAGGGATTTAGGAAGCGGATGTGTCTGTGTGCTTGTGTTGGAAAACTATACTCTTGACAGAAGGTGTCCATTTGACAAACCTTGGTAATGGGACTTTTTTTTAGTTAGTGGACATATTTTAATAAGGTAGGTAAATTTGTAAGCCGATGCCTAGTTATTCTAGCTACTGCACACACACTGCTCATGTGCTGCCTTTATTAGTGCCTCTCTACTGTGTTTTGAGATAAGCCTTTTGTAGTCACTGATAGGACATCAATATGAGCCACTTCCTCAATCAGTTGGTGGTACATGCTGTGTAAGGGTTTATCCTTTCATGATGGTCCTTGTTTATTCCTCTAGCCCTTGTTTGGTTTCAGCTGCCTGAGACATTCATTTAGCAGCTCACCACTGGGGGCTGTGTCTTCCTCCATCTTTCTGTTTTATCC